TGGTTCACGCAGCAGATATACCAGCTGTTTGACTGTGCCATCCAGTTCGCCGAAAAGAGTTCCTCCGATCTCCGAGCAGAAAGCAATTGCCTCGTCGAGTGTTCGGACGGTGTTCGGGATTCCCGACTTCATCCATTGTATAACTTTAGTTAGCTCCATTTGCGCATCTAATAAAAAAAAATCGGTCATTATATTTTTTTTTCTATACTTTCATGGAAAAGTAATTTTTTTTAAATTTATTTTACTTATTTAATTCATACAATCAAACTTTCGATAAGTATCATTATTGATGAGCGCCTGCTTCTAAAATTTACACTTGCTTAATTCCTAAATATTCGGTTAAAGTTATCTCGAAGGTAATTTAGCCAATATTTTTGTTAACCTATATTATAACTAACCTTTTTGCTAACCTATATTTTTGATGTTATAACTTATTATTATCACCAGCCGGTACACCTTGGTCATATTGTACTAACACTTAGTTTGAATGCTTGCATTAGGCCGAAGTCCTCATTTTTCCAACTGCAGTTTTATTTCTGATGAAAAAAAATTTCAGAAAATTTTCCCCAAAAGGCAAGTGTCAAGGACAAAAAATTCATGCAATTTTAAAATCAGTTACCCTGCCTCATTTCAATTCGGAAAGAGGCTTCAGCCAATTTTTTGTAGCCTGCTCTACACTTCAAAAAGTTTGGAAACTTATTCGGAATCATGCATCCCAAAGTGGCTAAATTCACAACTTTGTGCCCCTATTACCTTACAAAAAACAGTCGCAGATAAGATGTTTTTAATGTTTGAGTGCTAGACATTACCATCTTTCAGAATTGTAAGAAAAATCTAACAAAAACTGCTGGTTCAACCAGCAAATTTTGACTGATTTTATACATATTCTGAAAGTTGCTAATGTCTTTTTCTCAAAAAATAAAAACTAAGTTAGAAGTCAAAGTTTGTCTGGAAAAAAAAATCAAAACACTTACTCCGAACATCCCGCAAAACTGTTAAAGTGTTTAAGTGAAAAACCATGCTTCTTAAAAAATCTGTACATAAAATTTGCACTAACAACAGCAGTGAATTGCTACAAGCGAAACAAATCTCACTTGCACACATTGCTCCTCGTCCTCAGTGACTTCTCTGACAGAACTGTTGTTGAACAAGTTTGAACTCCTCTCTTGAGTCCACTGCTGCTGTAGTCTCTATCACAGCCCAGTACCCTCCAACTCTCATTTGGTTGACTTGAAATAACTTCGCCTGTAGAGCAGAAACAGAACGAAAAAAAACTTGCTACGCGAGTTGAGTTCCCATTGGAAATTAGCAATCGAAATTTTTTTTTAAAAACAGTGATCGCCATCGATTATTTAGCGGTAAAATTAACCCAAATTGTAAATTTAAGCGCTGAATTAGCACTGATTCACTGATGGAAAATCCGAAACTTCAGCGATTAGTGGTAGATTAGCGATGCATTTTTAAATGTTTTGCTATAAAAACAGAGCAGATTTAAATTAACGGGACACAGCGAACATTACTGGAAAATTCAAATGGTTTTTCTTTCAAAATTGGTTAACATTAGACAAGAAGTAAACTGAACAACAGTTGCTTAGAGTTTCACCAGAATTAAAATGGGCGTTTTTTTTCTCAAAATTCTCAAACAAAATTTTGCCCTAATTATTCAAGAAAAACGCTGAAATTACAGTATTAATTCAATTTTAAAATTAATCAAAAGAAGCTTGCTATACAGCCCAGCAAAATTCTAGAAGGATAAAACTTCTAGAAGTCTGTAAAAGAGAATATACTTTTGGTTGATGGCCAAAGAAGGTCAATTTTACTATATAAAAATCAAAATCTTTGCATTAAGCAAATTTCAAACGTTTTACTTGCAAAACTTTGTTGAGTTGTGTGAGAAGCTTCTTTTGAATAAACTTTTTTATATCAATTAACACTAGTTTCAGCGTTATTTTGATTAATTTTAAAATCAAAATCACACATTTTTGGGTCAAAATTTTGGTTGAGACTTATGAAAGTAATTGCACCGTATCAATTCTGATGAAAATCTAAGCAACTTTTGTGTTTCATCCTTTTTTGTAAGTTTCAACCCAATCTGAGAAAAAGACGTCTAGAAAAAAAACAAATTTTGTTTATTTTATCTGGAAATATTAAATCAGCACTGTATCAAATACTAGAACATAAAGAGCGCTGATTTGGCAATGAATTAGCAATCACTTTTCATTTTCTTCCTTTTAGCAAATTTCACTGCTGAATTAGCAAAATTCTGAACTCTATTTTTCGTTTATTTTTTTGTGCTTCATATCTACTGCAACTTGAGTTTCTTAAAATTCAAAAAATTTCTGCAAAAAAAAATTGAAAAAAAAAATCTGCCTCACAATTTTGAAATAAATTTTTAAAGATTTGAAATTTACACTTTCTGTGATTACAATCAAGCCAGCAATTATTGAAATTATGAGCATAACATATACTCATCAGACTACAACTTTTAAGCGAGAAAGTTAACAAGCTTCTGTTGATTATCAGTTTGAAACCAATTTTAAGTAAATGAATAAAGAAATTCAACTCATCATTTGGATCACATTAAATTGAAAAAAAACCATTAGATTGTTATGAAGAATTTTATTTACATAACACGGTCGGAAAAAAAATTCTCAGAAGAGTCAGAAGAGAAACAATTTTTTCATTATTATTAAATTCCAAGCAATTTTAGGCAATCAATTGTAACAAACTGTGAATTAACATTTAGTTATTTTTTGAAGTTTTTCCCTTTATCGTTTACGGCATTATTTGATTGATTGCCCTAAATTGCTTTTGAACTTTTACGCACTATTTAAAGTGTTGCACCTTTTAGTAGAAACCAACATTGGTCGGAACCTGAAATTAATATAGGGTGTTTCATTATATTCCTTAAATATAATGGGTTTTGATATTCATGAAGTGGCCGCACCTGTCCTCAATTGGTTGAACTAGCAAACGCACCTGCTTTATATAAAAGAAATTACTGCTCTTTGTTCAAGTAGAAGCTCTTTAAAACATTGTTTCAGCATTTCATCAAATCTAAAAAAATCAATCTGAAAAAAAAATCAGCAATTAGAAATATAAAAAAGCCAGAACTGATTTTAATTCTTGGTATCTTGTTATCGCTTCATGAGCAAAAAAATATATTCAAATATTCTTTTCAATCGAAACACTGGAATGAATTTTTTTGGTTGTCTGTTCGAGAGGTAACAGTTGAACTCATCTTCAGGGTTAAGCCAAATACGCATTGCATAAAATCTTTTGCGCAGAGTCTAAATTGCATTACATGAAACAAGATGAAATGATAAGACTTCATTCTGAGATGAATCACAGCTTAATCAAAATTTCTAGTTAACTATCTTCGCATCTGAAAACCAGCTTAAAAAATCTATTATAAAAAATATTTCAGGTATGCGAAATTTTCATTCCTTGTACAAAATAGCCTCTCATGATTGCGAGGCTTCAGTTTAAAATTAACCCGATGTTTCAAAAATTAACGGAAAGTTTCAAATGTGCCAAAAAAAACATTCTTCGTTCAAGCTAACCAATCATGATTGCGAGGTTTCAAATAAACAATGACCTGATGTTTCAAGATGATCAATGTTTACTTGCATTCCGCTGAGAGATAACAATTTTTAGGGAAGTCTATAATCAGTTCACCGTTTAACAAAATCATGTGGATTCTGCGCGCTCTGAATATGAAGTCATGAAATAATAAAGCAATTTGAAACATTTGCATTATATTATGCTATTCAGGTACCATAAGACATCATCAGACTGGGTCGAGTGATAAATCATATTAAAGGCCTTTCAGTCGTTCTTCGAACATTTTAAAATTATGAAAAAATTCTGAGTATCGAGAAAAACCATTTTGAACTGATTTTTACTCTAGTAAAGTAAATTTTTGGAGTTTTTTTGCGCCCTTTAGAAAATCAAAAATATACTTCTTGGATAAAATGAGAAAAACCTTTTGAGTTTTTTTAAATTGGTCTCGTAGGCATTAAAAAAATTGTCAAATTGGTTTTACGAGTTAAATTTTGGTTGTCTAGACATTTTTCCACAAAAAAAAAGGTTTTCCAATTGCCCTATTTGACTATGACTGTCGCATTTGCCTAATTTCTATTTTATTGTTCAATTTATCACACCACACGGAAAAAAGGTTTTAATTGAGAGAAAAAATGCAGTTTTTAAGGCTACGTTCGGAACATTCTGTGTTACTTGCACTGGTACCGGCTTTCCTTGTTCCATTTGATAATCTCCAGGTGGAAAAATTAGCTAACTGTTTCCTTTTTAACTATAAAACTCCAAGCTTTCAGGAACACGTCGATCTAATTGATGTCAACTCTATGTTTAACAGAGGCGAAGCTGCCCTTCGCAAACACTAGCGACAACACGGCAAAAAAAGCAGCTTTAGTAGCTTGATAAAGTGAAATAAAAAAAATTAGAAACAAGCCTCGATTGAGTAAAAATTTACTACGTATGGTCTTCGAACCACAATTTTGCAAATAATAGTTTGGAATATAACAAACTGAAGGCATCCACACTATTTTTGCATGAAACAAATCGGAAACATAAAGCCACATTATGTATAAGCTATGCATTTGAAAAAATTGCGAAATACATTGAATTGGGTAGCTTCTGAAATCCAGTTTTTATTAATGTACTGTTGTTTGAAACAAAAAGCGGTTTTTGGTTCATTTGGTGAATTTAAAATGCATCATGTGTGTTAACTTATTACTTTTCGAATGTCAAAGCACAGACTATCCATAACCGTAATGTTGCACCAAAAGTGGCACCAATATCTGCGACTTAGGTCAGAAAAAAGATAAGTCGCAGTATAACACTGACGCTCACTAAAGTTCGCTAGTGGAATGAATGATGACCGTGGATAAAAACTATGGAACTGCATGCATATTATTGTCGCTTGAAAGAAAACCACAGAAATATTTATAGAGTTGAATTTATATTAACTAACTGATAGAATCATTCAATATTTAATGTGTAAACTTTGATATGTGCAGCTCTGAGTTTCAAATCAATACAAAATTAAAGCAAAGATTATGATACAAATACGTTTTTTAAGGTTACGTTTCTTGATAAACTCATTTTTCCTAACATTTTACATTTCAATCAAAAGCACGTTTTGAATAATCATGCAATCTGCATACCCGATAGTTCTTACGGTAGGTTCATTTAGTTTTCTCTGCAAGTTGTTCAACAATTCTGTCAATATCGGGCAGAGTGACATTTCCACCCGGCAGTCTCAGCAAGTCTCTCTCCTCTTTATAGATGTGATCTGCCTCTAAAAAGATTCTCTTCATTTTGGTCCCGTAGGCCAGGTCAGCTTGGTATCCCACCAGGAAAGTCAAGGGAAGTAGAGGTGCCACCACAGCTGGTTTTCTACTTCGTCGAAATCTGAAGCACAGTTCTCATGAACGTGAAGTGGAATCGACCGTTGGTTTGTAGAAGAGGCAAAACAAATTCATCTGGCCGATTGACATACCACGTAAAAATTTTAAAGCTCACTGAGGTATAAGGAAAACTGATCAAATTTATTTTTCGAGCCTTACCAGATCACTATAACGATCCCATTTTAAACCAATTTTTCTGCACCGCTGGCGAATTTTAGTAAAAACAATCCAAAAAGACATTCTTAGGCAGTTTTTCTAAGGTAGGTTTTGCCCAAAAAATTGCAAATGATTCAAGTGATTACTACTCAAAATTAGCAAACTCCAGTAGTTTAGTTTGATTTTTCGCAACTAAGCATATCAGCATGACAAGGTAGCGCACGTGCTGCTACCAATGATTCAAGTGATTTTGTTAAATAAATTGTTAACGACATCTTTTTTAGGCTATCTGGGAAATTTTTTTTCGGCTATCCGATAAAACTTTTTACTGCCAATCCAGTAAATATCCAAATGAGAACAATATTATATAAATTTCCTGAGATGGTCTCGGCGACCACACGCCAAGAAGTGTACAAAACCTCGATTCATGGATGCAGGATGTATAAAACCTCGATTCATTGTCAAAAGTTTTTCAAATGTCGCAGAAAGTTTGATCAAAATCAAGATCTTTAGTGTTTTTGGCTGTGTGAATCAATTTTTTTTGCTATCCAGAACAAAAAGATTTCGGATATCCGGGGAAAAAAATTTTGGGTCTCGTGGAACAAACTTTTTTTTTCGGCTATCCCGGAACGAATTTGTGGCTCTTTTTCCTTCCCCCCCCCCAACTGCAATTTTTTACTAGTAAAGTTACTGTTCACATTGTCCGATAATTATGAAAATTGACATGCGGACTAATTAGGATGCGCGGCTCTTTTCCAGTTTCCCCCCTTTCAAAATAACGAGTTTTATAATTGTTTTACGTGTTATTACGGTTATTTGTATTACGTTATTTGTATATTTGTATTACGTGTTATTTACGTGTTATTACGTGAAAGAGCCGAATTTGTTTTCGGCTATCGGGGAACAAATTCGGTTAGCCAATTTTTCCAATATGATAACGCTGATAATCGCAGGATCATTAATTTCAAATCAATTGACACTGAGTTGAAAATTCCACGAAGTTCCAGGATTAAACTCTGGATCTACTTAACAAAATCACCTCCCTCTTTCAAGAATTGTTAGGCAAGTAAATTAAAAATTGAGAAGATCCCATTCAAGTTCAGGGATCTACTAAACAATATCCCCCTTTCATGAAAGGGGGGAGATTGTTAAGTAGATCAAAATGGTCGATTTTTCGACCAATCAGGATGCAGCAAAAATTGAATTCTCAATACAAGCTCTAATGCTAATTTACTATATATATCTTTAGGTGTGGTGATTTTAAATTAGATACCATAGGGGGAATTGTTAAATCGATCTCAACTCTTAACTTACCCAGCGATGCTAACGACGACAGCTACAGCATAGAAAGATGCCAGCCAGGAGAACATTTCTCTACTCCTCGCAATCTGCAACGACGTCATTCGCTCCCTCATCTGGCTCTGCAGCTCAACCTGCACCAATTTCACGAAAGAAATTCAAGCAGACAGATTTGACGTTTGATGAAACTGGCACATTTACAGAAATTTTTAGCTTTTTGAAGTATTTATTTCCAAAATTTCGCTATGAAATCTTCGAAAACTAATTTTACTGGAGAAAATTAAACTTTCGAGAGAAAATAAACCACCCGAAGTATAAACCAACCTAAAATGCACAGAGCATATAAACTAGCCAAAAATATACATCATATGAATGAATTTGCATAATTTTCGTAACCGTTACATAATTGTTACATAACTATTAAATAAAACTTACGTATTTTTGGCTGATTGATATTTCGGCTGGTTTATACTTCGGTTGGCTTATATACTACCAAAGTTTCACGGCTTATCCTTCTATAATAATAAGCCTGCTAGCTCGCTTACTCGCTCGAAATTGGACTAACAATTAAAAACTTTTGAAACCAGTTTTTCTTGACACTAGGAGAGCGTTTTTTTTTTTTTTTTAAAAACTTTCGAATCACGACTGAAAAAGCTTTAATAAGATATATCACTCGGCTTGGTCCGATGACTATTTGTGGCACCTGATTTTGCGTCGAGAAAAACTAAAACACATCCGAATACGTTCCTCCCCATTTTCAATGGTCCGAACAATAATTTAATAAGCGATGATATCCGGAAAAACTTGCTAACATCGTATTATAAAATTGCAAATGAAACAATTTTCCAACAAACAAAACTTTAAGATCTAGTTACCAACTATCTGTACATTCCTATCTAGTTTCATCAAGGTATGGTACGGTAAAATTATCAGTTGGGCGAACGGTACCTCCTATAAAGACACGACACAAAGCTTGATTGTACACAAATTTTAAGCATCGAAGAACAAAATTCTTCAATATGGGAAATGGGACAACAACTCACTTAACAGATTAAAAAAATAATTGAACTTTTAAAATGCGGCCAATCTACCCGCTATATTGTTTTAATTCAGCAGGTTTATCGATTGATTTTTCACGGCATATCAGTAAAAAAAATCAAAAAAGCAAACTAATATTCAAGCATTTTCTCGTTCTTGAGCTAATCAAAAATCTTCATCGGAACCACTATTAAATTAGCAGTCAACGGAAATTCGTAGCTCGCCCCGAATGATGATTGTTAGCCAATATATTTACTCTTCAAACTGATCGAAATCATTAGTAAAATGAGACACAGAAGCGAAGCTGTGTTTCGCTAACACTTGCGAGAAAACGACCAGAAAGCAGCTCTATCAAGTGACATGAGAAAAAGTAGAAATAAGCCTCGAATTAGCAAAAACTCGGCTAAGTGTCGGATTCGAATCTGCGACCTAGCAAATTGGAGTCTCACGCACTAACCACTCAGCCACGGATGCTTAAAATCCCCAAAAACTAGCCAACAATAACGCAGCTACATATGCTAATAAATTGTCAATTCGATGCAGCAAAAGTAGCACCAAATACAAAAAAACACAATTTTGCATGTAATAAATCGCAAAGCATAAAGCCATATTATGTATAAATTATGCATTTCAAAAAATTGCGATATATAAGGTTAGACAATTTCTGAAATCGAGTTTTTTTTGTTAGGTTGTTGGAAACAAATAGCTTTTACCGGTTCATTTGATCAATTAAAAATGCATCAACTGTGTTAACTTATTCGAGTATCAAAGCAGATGCTATGTAAAAGCTGTAAAGAAACCCTTAATGTGGCACCAATATTTGCGACTTACCTTGGAAAAAAGAAGGGCCGTACTAATACACTAGCTTCGCAAGTATAATGTTAAGACTATTATACGCCCACTACAAGACCTAATCGCTCGCTCAACTTGCTTGAAATTAGACAAAAAAATCTATCAACACCCGGAAAATTTCTTTGAATTTTTAAAATGTTCGAATCACAACTTACAGGGCTTTATCATACTGTATCACTCAACTCCTTCCGATAGTTTTTTGTGATACCTGATTTTGCTTGAAAATTTGTTTAAGTTAAAAAACTAAACCCAGCTCGAAGACAAAATTCCTCGTCACTTTCAGTAGTCGGAACAATAAACATGCCCAAGTATCAGCTAACTGAAAAAAGCAAACAGATTTTATTAAAATCGAACAAAGTTAGGACATTTTCCTCAATCTGCATGGTTTTCTCTAACGTTACCAAATAATCGCGTTTCTATTCATTATGGCCATATTTGAAAAAAAAATGTTTAGATTAGCAGTGGTTTGATCAAGTAAGTCTGCTTGAATTCGTTCCTGTCTATTCATGGTCACTCCACTCAATTCGGCCATGAATTTCTTTTGATTGTCCAGCTGGTCGCCTAGCTGCCTGCTCATGAAGCTTCCCATGTCTAACTGCAAGTAGGGCAGTCGTCTTGAGTTAGTGTCAATCGATCATTGAACAAGAAAATTCTTCGACTGTTTAGCTAAGTATCACTAATATCACTACTAATTATGGGCACAAAAAGTCAGATACTGCAACCAAGCAGGATAGCTACACAACAAAAAACAACAACAAACCTTTGGGAAAGCTGTCACGATTAAATTGAAGTTTTTTACATTGAAACCTGAACAAATTTTGATACTTTTCCTGAAAAAACCATCGCGACCTACATAAGAGTCTGAACTACTTTACTCACTCTCTTATTTGGAACAGGTTGAAGCTTTTTAATACTTGGATCTTGTTTTTAAACTGACTATAAACGGCTAGTGGTCTCACATCATCAAAGCTGCGCCTGATACGGTCTTAAAAAATTACTATAAAAAAGCAGTTCCATCGAATTTAATACTACAACTTTTTTAAAAAACCCGGTGCAAAGGTATTAGATCATTTCAACAAAGATTAGCAAACTCTCCTTAGCATAAGCCAAAAACAGAGCTTTTTGAATGAGGGAGGGTCAAATATCCTGAGTGATCTTAAGTTTTTACTCGTCCCAAATAAGATACGCGTAAAAAAAAACAAATTTCCATTTCATTTGTGCTGAAATTGGCACCGTTCTTGTGTGTTTCATAATGAATACACGAGACCAAAATGCACTTCACAGTCAGAAACAACAAGACACTGTAAAAACGAAAACAAAAACTTAATTCGAACTACGCACCTGTAGTCACGTGCTCTAAACCACTCAGCCATTAGCGTCTTGCATGTCAGCAGTCCTGAAGAACTTTCAGATACTAGCAAAAAATGCTATTTAAGCCGTTGAAGCTTAAATGTCAAGCAGAAATTTAACATACAAAACGGTCAATACCTCGGCTGGTTTGATGATTTACATTAAAAACTATCCAAAAAGTTCCAGCGTACAAACTATGTGAAACCTGTCATCCAGACAAAACACAGCCTAGAGGCAGTAGAATAAGGATTTTTGAGTATTTAAATCTTCTAGTCATTTTGAGAAAGCTGGATTACAGATATTTTCTATTCCGCTGGAATTTTTCTAACCCCTTGAACTTCTTCTTTGAAACGGACCCAACAGACAAAGGGAAAAGAGTCAATAAACGCAAGGAAACAGAAACACAATTTATGAAAAAACTTCAACTTTCGAATAAAAAGCCTTCCAGCTCTTTGAATTTTAAGAACCATTTATCATTGACTCGTTTTTGATAAAAAATTAACTCAATTTCAGAAAACTGGATGAAAGTATTTTTTATTCCGCTGGGAAATCTGAAAACCAAAATCCATTTTCGATATTAGAATTCGATCACGTTTTTCCTGACCTTTAGAGTTTTACTGTTCGATAGTGGTGTTTGCCTTCCTTTTAAACAGAGGCGAAGTTGCACTTTACTAGCACAAACAAAAATACGAACGATAACGTACAACTGATTCAACAATATTTCTTAAGTACCGCAGGCCAATTATGAGTCTGCATAATTGCTAAGTAACGCAAGCCAATTGTGACGCATTAGCAGTACCAGTCAATTTGAAAAAAAAATACCAACTAACAAGCCTCAATTTGTAGAGCGGACGCATTTTAACTATTATACGAAAAAATTCATTGAAAAACATCCGACTTAGCCTAGTTTTGAATTCTCTTATTTTGTTTCCGGTCTCCTTGCCTACCTCTAAGCTACAGATCTATGATACTTTGAAGCTAAAGTGATATTTGAAAGATAATAGTCTGTGTTAATATCCTTAGCATTGGACTTAATAGCTGGCTATTCATCAACATTAACAAAGGAAGTGAGTTGAACATGAAAACAAATCAAAAGTCAGATCGCGAAAAATCAAATTATAGTGGGAAAAAATTTTAAGAATTTTTTGAATGAATTATCAGAAATACATCTCGGCCTATATAAGAGTGTTCACTGTGTTCTTTGACACTGAAACACATAAAAAAATATAGTGTTAACAAAAATTCCCGTCACATCTCCAGTACAAAACCAAGCTTATAAAACTAAATTATCATCAAATTAGAGTGTTTTTAACTAAGTTAGTCTGTACACATACAATCAAATAATTAATTCAAATCAAATTATTTTACAGTTAATTTAAAAATTAAAATTTCAAAATTGTTATTTAGTTTTACGAGGACATTGAGAGCATTTAACAAATACTACAAACTCAAGCTACTTCTAATGCAAACATAAAAGGAAGATATGCACTTCGAATCCTCGTCTGATAGACAACTAATATGGAGAAGTAAAAAAAATCTAATAACCCAGAAAAAAAAACAAGAGCCCACGTAAATTGTAAATAAAATTGAAGTGAATCTTAGAGAGAAAAAGAACTAATTTGTATAATTTATCCGCTCATTCAAGTCTTAAGAAGCTAGGTGGGCGGCTACGCCAAGAAATGTTAAAATCTATAACACTGAAGGATTTAAGGTTATTTTTCAACATGTTACTGGAGTTTAAAGACATAACGTTCATATATGTAGAATACCATGTAGAACTTTATTTCGTGTAAAACATGTCATCATTCCAGCTTCATAATTTTTGATACCGGTCAAAACAAACTTTGTAATACTGATCAGTAATTGCAAATAATAGATAAAATAATGCTTTGAGTTTTGGACGACAAAACATGTCATTGAAAATATTCAAGTCATCAAATGAAATTAGAAATTAAAATACTTTTAGAACTAAAATACGGTTTCAGAGCGAGCACAGAATAGATAAATTTTAAGTCATGGAATGTTACCTTTTGCAGAAAAAATACGGCAAGACGGCAATAATGAAAATGGTTTTTAAGTATTCAAAATGAACTTGAAAAAAAATCATAATAACTTAAGTAAAATTATAAAAATCTGCACCCACAACTTGTTTCTTTTCTAAATTCAAATACTAATTTCAAATAAACCGAAACTTTATTTTCATTCGTGTTCAACGACAAGGAAAGCATTAAAATATCTGGCTCGACTCGGATTAGGTACACCAATATTTCACATTTCACATCCAGGCTATGTCGTACTAGATTCTAAATGTCTTTTCTAAATGGCTATTGAGTCTTCTTTCTAAATGATATTTCTAAAACATCAGATTTGTCAATTTGCTTATTCTCACACTCCTGAAGAGGATGTAACAGAAGATTTTTTGAAAAATTTTTATCGATAAGCCAGATATTGGATTCTATCAACGACCAGCAAGGCCAATTAAATAGTTATTAGTGTCCGCCAAATAGCTTTACAAAACAGGGCTGACAGTATGGTTGCTGTTTGTACTCCTTGAAGGTTCCTTTGTTGAGTTGTTTCATGCAGAACACGCAGACGAAGTGTTCTGGGTGAAACCTCTTCCCGCCCATCGCCGTGATGCATCTACACAAAATTAAATCGTTGACTCGCAAATAAATTTGTCGATGAACCGAAAAATCGAAACAGTTAACAGTTGGTTATAAACTGCTGATCATTCATAATTAACCTAACTGTCAAAACTCCTGTCAAGAGCTTTAATACTACTAATAACTCAAAAAACAACAACAAACCTTTGGGAAAGCTGTCACAATTAAATTGAAGTTTTTTACATTGAAACCTGAACAAATTTTGATACTTCTTCTGAAAAAACCATCGCGACCTACATAAGAGTCTGAACTACTTTACTCACTCTCTTATTTGGAACAGGTTGAAGCATTTTAATACTTGGATCTTGTTTTTAAACTGACTATAAACGGCTAGTGGTCTCACATCATCAAAGCTGCGCCTGATACGGTCTTAAAAAATTACTATAAAAAAGCAGTTCCATCGAATTTAATACTACAACTTTTTTAAAAAACCCTGTGCAAAAGTATTAGATCATTTCAACAAAGATTAGCAAACTCTCCTAGCGTTAGCCAAAAAAAGAGCTTTTTGAATGAGGGAGGGTCAAATATCCTGAGTGATCTTAAGTTTTTACTCGTCCCAAATAAGATACGCGTAAAAAAAAACAAATTTCCATTTCATTTGTGCTGAAATTGGCACCGTTCTTGTGTGTTTCATAATGAACACACGAGACCAAAATGCACTTCACAGTCAGAAACAACAAGACACTGTAAAAACGAAAACAAAAACTTAATTCGAACTACGCACCTGTAGTCACGTGCTCTAAACCACTCAGCCATTAGCGTCTTGCATGTCAGCAGTCCTGAAGAACTTTCAGATACTAGCAAAAAATGCTATTTAAGCCGTTGAAGCTTAAATGTCAAGCAGAAATTTAACATACAAAACGGTCAATACCTCGGCTGGTTTGATGATTTACATTAAAAACTATCCAAAAAGTTCCAGCGTACAAACTATGTGAAACCTGTCATCCAGACAAAACACAGCCTAGAGGCAGTAGAATAAGGATTTTTGAGTATTTAAATCTTCTAGTCATTTTGAGAAAGCTGGATTACAGATATTTTCTATTCCGCTGGAATTTTTCTAACCCCTTGAACTTCTTCTTTGAAACGGACCCAACAGACAAAGGGAAAAGAGTCAATAAACGCAAGGAAACAGAAACACAATTTATGAAAAAACTTCAACTTTCGAATAAAAAGCCTTCCAGCTCTTTGAATTTAAAGAACCATTTATCATTGACTCGTTTTTGATAAAAAAATTAACTCAATTTCAGAAAACTGGATGAAAGTATTTTTTATTCCGCTGGGAAATCTGAAAACCAAAATCCATTTTCGATATTAGAATTCGATCACGTTTTTCCTGACCTTTAGAGTTTTACTGTTCGATAGTGGTGTTTGCCTTCCTTTTAAACAGAGGCGAAAATTAAAATTTCAAAATTGTTATTTAGTTTTACGAGGACATTGAGAGCATTTAACAAATACTACAAACTCAAGCTACTTCTAATGCAAACATAAAAGGAAGATATGCACTTCGAAACCTCGTCTGATAGACAACTAATATGGAGAAGTAAAAAAAATCTAATAACCCAGAAAAAAAAAACAAGAGCCCACGTAAATTGTAAATAAAATTGAAGTGAATCTTAGAGAGAAAAAGAACTAATTTGTATAATTTATCCGCTCATTCAAGTCTTAAGAAGCTAGGTGGGCGGCTACGCCAAGAAATGTTAAAATCTATAACACTGAAGGATTTAAGGTTATTTTTCAACATGTTACTGGTACCGGTCAAAATAAACTTTGTAATACTGATCAGTAATTGCAAAAAATAGATAAAATAATGGTTTGAGTTTTGGACGACAAAACATGTCATTGAAAATATTCAAGTCATCAAATGAAATCAGAAATTAAAATACTTTTAGAACTAAAATACGGTTTCAGAGCAAGCACAGAATAGATAAAATTTAAGTTATGAAATGTTAGCTTTTGCAGAAAATATATGGCAAGACGGCAATAATGAAAATGGTTTTTAAGTATTCAAAATTAACTTGAAAAAAAAATCATAATAACCTACGTAAAATTATAAAAATCTGCACCCACAACTTGTTTTTTTTCTAAATTGAAATACAAATTTCAAATAAACCGAAACTTTATTTTCATTCGTGTTCAACGACAAGGAAAGCATAACAATATCTGGCCCGACTCGGATTAGGTACACCGATATTTCACTTTCACACCCAGGCTATGTCGTACTTGATTCTAGATGTCTTTTCTAAATGGCTATTGAGTCTTCTTTCTAAATGATATTTCTATACCATCAGATTTGTCAATTAGCTTATTCTCACACTCTTGAAGAGGATGTAACAGAGTGCTTTTTGAAACATTTTAATCGATAAGCCAGATATTGGATTCTATCAACGACCAGCAAGGCCAATTAAATAGTTATTAGTGTCCGCCAAATAGCTTTACAAAACAGGGCTGACAGTATGGTTGCTGTTTGTACTCCTTGAAGGTTCCTTTGTTGAGTTGTTTCATGCAGAACACGCAGACGAAGTGTTCTGGGTGAAACCTCTTCCCGCCCATCGCCGTGATGCATCTACACAAAATTAAATCGTTGACTCGCAAATAAATTTGTCGATGAACCGAAAAATCGAAACAGTTAACAGTTGGTTATAAACTGCTGATCATTCATAATTAACCTAACTGTCAAAACTCCTGTCAAGAGCTTTAATACTACTAATAACTCAAAAAACAACAACAAACCTTTGGGAAAGCTGTCACAATTAAATTGAAGTTTTTTACATTGAAACCTGAACAAATTTTGATACTTCTTCTGAAAAAACCATCGCGACCTACATAAGAGTCTGAACTACTTTACTCACTCTCTTATTTGGAACTGGTTGAAGCTTTTTAATACTTGGATCTTGTTTTTAAACTGACTATAAACGGCTAGTGGTCTCACATCATCAAAGCTGCGCCTGATACGGTCTTAAAAAATTACTATAAAAAAGCAGTTCCATCGAATTTAATACTACAACTTTTTTAAAAAACCCTGTGCAAAAGTATTAGATCATTTCAACAAAGATTAGCAAACTCTCCTAGCGTAAGCCAAAAAAAGAGCTTTTTGAATGAGGGAGGGTCAAATATCCTGAGTGATCTTAAGTTTTTACTCGTCCCAAATAAGATACGCGTAAAAAAAAAACAAATTTCCATTTCATTTGTGCTGAAATTGGCACCGTTCTTGTGTGTTTCATAATGAACACACGAGACCAAAATGCACTTCACAGTCAGAAACAACAAGACACTGTAAAAACGAAAACAAAAACTTAATTCGAACTACGCACCTGTAGTCACGTGCTCTAAACCACTCAGCCATTAGCGTCTTGCATGTCAGCAGTCCTGAAGAACTTTCAGATACTAGCAAAAAATGCTATTTAAGCCGTTGAAGCTTAAATGTCAAGCAGAAATTTAACATACAAAACGGTCAATACCTCGGCTGGTTTGATGATTTACATTAAAAACTATCCAAAAAGTTCCAGCGTACAAACTATGTGAAACCTGTCATCCAGACAAAACACAGCCTAGAGGCAGTAGAATAAGGATTTTTGAGTATTTAAATCTTCTAGTCATTTTGAGAAAGCTGGATTACAGATATTTTCTATTCCGCTGGAATTTTTCTAACCCCTTGAACTTCTTCTTTGAAACGGACCCAACAGACAAAGGGAAAAGAGTCAATAAACGCAAGGAAACAGAAACACAATTTATGAAAAAACTTCAACTTTCGAATAAAAAGCCTTCCAGCTCTTTGAATTTTAAGAACCATTTATCATTGACTCGTTTTTGATAAAAAATTAACTCAATTTCAGAAAACTGGATGAAAGTATTTTTTATTCCGCTGGGAAATCTGAAAACCAAAATCCATTTTCGATATTAGAATTCGATCACGTTTTTCCTGACCTTTAGAGTTTTACTGTTCGATAGTGGTGTTTGCCTTCCTTTTAAACAGAGGCGAAGTTGCACTTTACTAGCACAAACAAAAATACGAACGATAACGTACAACTGATTCAACAAAATTTCTTAAGTACCGCACGCCAATTATGAGTCTGCATAATTGCTAAGTAACGCAAGCCAACTGTGACGCATTAGCAGTACCAGTCAATTTGGAAAAAAAAACACCAACTAACAAGCCTCAATTTGTAGAGCGGACGCATTTTAACTAGTATACGAAAAAATTCATTGAAAAACATCCGACTTAGCCTAGTTTTGAACTCTCTTATTTTGTTTCCGGTCTCCTTGCCTACCTCTAAGCTACAGATCTATGATACTTCGAAGCTAAAGTGATATTTGAAAGATAAAAGTCTGTGTTACTATCCTTAGCATTGGACTTAATAGCTGGCTATTCATCAAAATTAACAAAGGAAGTGAGTTGAACATGAAAACAAATCAAAAGTCAGATCGCGAAAAATCAAATTATAGTGGGAAAAAATTTTAAGAATTTTTTGAATGAATTATCAGAAATACATCTCGGCCTATATAAGAGTGTTCACTGTGTTCTTTGACACTGAAACACATAAAAAAATATAGTGTTAACAAAAGTTCCCGTCACATCTCCTGTACAAAAACAAGCTTATAAAACTAAATTATCATCAATTTAGAGTGTTTTTAACAAAGTTAGTCTGAACACATACAATCAAATAATTAATTCAAATCAAATTATTTTACAGTTAAATTAAAAATTAAAATTTCAAAATTGTTATTTAGTTTTACGAGGACATTGAGAGCATTTAACAAATACTACAAACTCAAGCTACTTCTAATGCAAACATAAAAGGAAGATATGCACTTCGAAACCTCGTCTGATAGACAACTAATGTGGAGAAGTAAAAAAAATCTAATAACCCAGAAAAAAAAACAACAGCCCACGTAAATTGTAAATAAAATTGAAGTGAATCTTAGAGAGAAAAAGAACTAATTTGTATAATTTATCCGCTCATTCAAGTCTTAAGAAGCTAGGTGGGCGGCTACGCCAAGAAATGTTAAAATCTATAACACTGAAGGATTTAAGGTTATTTTTCAACATGTTACTGGTACCGGTCAAAATAAACTTTGTAATACTGATCAGTAATTGCAAATAATAGATAAAATAATGGTTTGAGTTTTGGACGACAAAACATGTCATTGAAAATATTCAAGTCATCAAATGAAATCAGAAATTAAAATACTTTTAGAACTAAAATACGGTTTCAGAGCAAGCACAGAATAGATAAAATTTAAGTTATGAAATGTTAGCTTTTGCAGAAAATATATGGCAAGACGGCAATAATGAAAATGGTTTTTAAGTATTCAAAATTAACTTGAAAAAAAAATCATAATAACCTACGTAAAATTATAAAAATCTGCACCCACAACTTGTTTTTTTTCTAAATTGAAATACAAATTTCAAATAAACCGAAACTTTATTTTCATTCGTGTTCAACGACAAGGAAAGCATAACAATATCTGGCCCGACTCGGATTAGGTACACCGATATTTCACTTTCACACCCAGGCTATGTCGTACTTGATTCTAGATGTCTTTTCTAAATGGCTATTGAGTCTTCTTTCTAAATGATATTTCTATACCATCAGATTTGTCAATTAGCTTATTCTCACACTCTTGAAGAGGATGTAACAGAGTGCTTTTTGAAACATTTTAATCGATAAGCCAGATATTGGATTCTATCAACGACCAGCAAGGCCAATTAAATAGTTATTAGTGTCCGCCAAATAGCTTTACAAAACAGGGATGACAGTATGGTTGCTGTTTGTATTCCTTGAAGGTTCCTTTGTTGAGTTGTTTCATGCAGAACACGCAGACGAAGTGTTCTGGGTGAAACCTCTTCCCGCCCATCGCCGTGATGCATCTACACAAAATTAAATCGTTGACTCGCAAATAAATTTGTCGCTGAACCGCAAAAATCGTAACAGTTAACAGTTAGTTATAAACTGCTGATCATTCATAATTAACCTAACTGTCATAACTCCTGTCAAGAGCTTTAATACTACTAATAACTCAGAGGCGAAGCTGAGCTTCCCATCACTTGCGATACGCAAAGCCATCGATTCTTAAAACAATTGACAAAATGCCAAAAACAAACAAGACCCGAAATGTTCAAACGTTTAATTCAAACTGAAACTCATTTTGATGAAAACCTGTAACAGAACACAAAAATTAGTATTGAATTAGCTTAAAAACTTCGAATTGCGCTACAATATATTCAGTGGAAAAAAGGCAGTAACAAAAAATTCTGAAAAATTAAGTGAGAAAATTACCTGAAAATATAACTTGCAAAACTTGGAAAAACTACAGCTACAAAAACTTCATGGTTGTATTGGATAAAATTCATAAACAGCCTCAAAAACAATTGGAAATCATTAACCGAACGGCAGTAAAGGCGACAAGTTTTGGGTCGAGCACATGCGTGATACTGGAGGACAATTCTATACGAATAAATTTTGCCCTTAAAATAAGGCAATATAAGTTGACTAGACCGAAATGACAATCTGCTCAAATATTTTTTTTAAATGAAAAAAAAATTACGCAAAATCAGACGTGTAAATTAACAAATTACTGAACGAAAAAAACCTGTTCAATTTGAAACAAAAACCAATAAAAAACCTACAGGATAAAAAAACTCCGTTTAAAAAAACGAAAAATGAACCAACAGGATACTAGGACAAAAACACGAATCGAAAACAAATTTGATAATTTTTTTTTGTAAAATTAATTACAACCTGAAACAGTCTTCACCTAACCTAATTACAACTTAAATTATGGTAGTTTTCTTCAAATTTCTAGAGTTTGAACATGTCAGAAGTGATATTTACCATTCCTATTAAAACGGACATTCTGTCTAGTACCCAATTGCAATACCCTTGCGTTTCCCAAGGGTAATAAATAATTGAGGTTTCTGCCATGCGCAGAGGATCTTTGAAAGGCTATCAGTCCTGACTAAGCATAATCCGTTTGTATTATTATTCAACTGCAGTTATTTTTTTAAAGAAGCTCTTAATTACAACTCAAGGTCATTTTTATGCGTCAGGAGCTTTTACGTTTTAACACTATTGCAGCCGAATCGTCCAAACTGTTTTAGACTTGAAGCTAGTTGTATCACACACTATCAATGCATAGCAGGGGATCGAAAAAACGATCTGAAGCTCTCAAAGTGAACGCCTTGTCGTTATGCTATGTACCTCCAAGTATTAGGAGTAATGGCTACTAATACAAGCAAAAAAAGTTTGTAGGTCTTCACAAACAAGATTAGCCAGGATCTTTAGATGCTTAAAAGGCAGTAAAACAAACTACTGAATATGAGCATCAGATAGCAGCATATAATCATGGCTCAGAATAGCCTTAACATAAATGAACGGTTACAATCAATTAACATGGCCAACAGACAGTTGAAAAAGAGTCAATGAATGCAAGAAAACAGAAAAAAACTTCGAATTTCAAAGAAAAATAGATGCCTTTCAAGCTCTCTGAACTTCAAATACAATTTAACATTGACACACTTTTTATTATATTACTACAATTTGAGAAAACTGGATCAATAGGTAAATTTTTAATTCCTTTGGAAAATCTGAAAATCAAATTCCACTTTCGAAACTAGAAGTCGAAAGGGTTTTTCGTGAATTTTATACTTTTACTTCGATAGCGTAGTTTGTCTTTCTTTTAACAAAGGAAACGAACTGAACTTGAAAAGAAATCATAAGTCAAACCGCGAAAAAGCAAACTTGAGCCTGAACAAACTAAGACTTTTCCTGATGAAAAAAAAAATCATCGCGACCTATAAAAGAGTCTGAACTACGTTCATCGACTCTTAATAAATCTCTTACTTGGAACTGGTTGAAACTTTTTAATAATAGAAACTTTTTTAAACTGACTATAAACAGCTAGTATTCTCACATCAGCAAAGCTGCTTTTGATATGGTCCCAAAAATTACTATAAAGAAACAGTTCCATGCAAAACACAAGCGAGGAAAATGCAAAAAAGAGCTCTAACAGGCAAAACAAAGTGATACAAGGATACGATTTAAAAAGCACTTAGAACTTTTTTTGATACTAAGAGTATCAGTTTCTCACAGGTGCTCGACGGCCGCTTGTAATTTTACGAACGCTAGCCACCAATAAAGCAGCAGCTAATGCTGAATCTAACTGTTGTAATATTTTAATCATATATTGTACTGCTTAAGTAGGTAATTCTCTGCTTAAGTAAATGGATCAAAAGCTTATTTAAAAGAGAAAACTATTACTTGCTCTTTCAGTTGAAATCTTCATCTCAGATTTGACTGAGCAGTTTTCGAAAAAAAAAGTTTTTAAAAAAATCGATCAAAAATTTCTTAGCATTTCTTACCTGCCGGTGATTGGGTGAGCACACCTATGGCATAAGGATCCCCTCTTCTTGTGGTAGTGGGTTTCACAGTAGGGCTTGCCCTCGAACTCGAAGAAGTTGCCACTGCTAGAGAACTCACACTCACACTCCTGAAAACTTTTTTATCACAACAAACTGTTTAGATAACGTCTTTTATGAGCTTCATGAACATTAACTATTAGTAGCATAACACCTGTGCATTCGCTCTCCAATCAGTATAAAACGGCGCTAAAAGCAGCTTCAGAAAAATTGAAGTCGGTCAAAAATTGATTAGTGGAAAACAGTGCTATCCATTTAAGGGTAATAGTAGAGAATGTTTTCAGATTCAAGTGTGGTTCAGTCTATTCGGCAAATTGATTGACCGTACAGATTAGCCCAAACACTTGCGGTGAAACCAAAGAAAAATTATGCAACAATCTGATTCAACTTTATAAAACTAACATTTCCGAAAGAACGACACAACAGGAAAAAAAAGAAAAAAGAAAGAATTAACTTAATTCTCTTGAAAAAAAACAATCCTACGCACATTTGAGCTGATTTAAAAACTAATTATGCGTAAAAAAATTGATATGATTCAGATGCAGGAGGAGATATATAAATACATGTACTATGCCTGCTGAAAATCTACCCTAAAAATCAGTGCAAGCAAAACCAAAAAAATAAAACTTCTTACCGCACACACGAAACATTCTGGATGCCACTGGCCTCCAAGTGCGGATATGAACTGTCTGTCTATGCTTTGGCCACCACACTTAGTGCCCCGACACTTGGGTGCACAGAAGTGTGAGTAGCAGTTGCCACAATACACTTTACCATCTACTCCTTCATGGTAAGTCACCTCTCCTTCGCCCAGTTTCAGGCTGCAGCGACTGCACGCAAAACACTCTGGGTGCCAGTTCTGGTCCAGAGCCGAAACGAACGTCTGAAAAACAAACAAATTCAGTTTCCATTGCCTATTTCGTTTATGAGCAGAATAACCATTTTGTACTCTTATTCTAACTTAAAAAATCTTGATAAATTTTGATATTTTCTCTGACTAAGGTCGTTCCATTTGCGTTTTCTTTCCTTTTCAGAGCGTATCCAGACTTTTCACAACACCTACAATTAAAAACAAAGATAGTCGATTTAAGGTCGTTCGAATCTCGACCCATTCCGATGATTATTTGTGGTACCTGATTTTGCATCGAAAACAAAAAAACATAGCCAACTGACAGTTGGAAAAGAGTAATGAACGCAAGGAAACTGAAACAAAAACTTACTTTTTTTTCAAAAAACTTAAACGTTTGAACTTCGAAGAAAAAAATAGATGGCTTTAAAGCTCTTTGAATTTGTAGAACAATTTATGATGGACACTGGATCAATAGGTAGAACTTTTATTTCACTGGGAAATCTGATTATTTACTTCCATTTTCGAAATTGGAAGCGGATCACGTTTTTCGTGCCCTTTACATTTTTGCTGTTTGATAGTGGAGTTTGCCTTCCTTTTAACAATCGAAATGCACTGAACTAAAAAGAAATCACAACTCAAACCATGAAAAATCAAAATTGAGCGTGAGCAAATTTTGAGACTTTTTCCTGAAAAAAAAACAAAAAAATCAGCAAGACCTATATAATAGTACTCACTACGTTCATTACTCTTCAAGACGAACAAAAAACAGCCGAATACAAAGTTTATCCCTATTTTCAACGGTCGGTCATTATAAAAATACGGCTATGAAAAGTAAAGCTATCAAAAATTAATCGTTCTACGAATGTAACAAATTGGCCAAATTCAATAAAAATGCCATTTCAAATGAAAGTACCATAAAACCACTTTCAAAAATCTCCCGCATTAGGTGTAAAATCCCAAACCAAACTAACATCTATGATTGGCTGATTGCACTGGTGGCATTTGGGCGCGAAGCTCTTTTGGTAGCAAGACTCACAGAAGGCCTCCCCATGTCTGTCAAAGAAGTCAGTCTCCCCGGCCAGTTGTCTCACACATAACACACATGAGAAACAGGGCGGGTGCCACAGCTTTCCCAGTGCAGTCACTATCTGAACAATTCCAAAAGTTAAGACCAGATTAATTATTAAGAACTCGCAACTTTAAATTAAGACTAGCGTTTAACGCACCTCCGGTGCTTCGAAATTTTCCGACAACTCATGAAAAACCGCATATATTGGAAACAACATCTGCAAACTTTTAGTGTACTCTGACTGCACCCAATTACAGGGTTGGTAATTTCGAACTTTTTAATTTTTTTTATTCCCATTTTAAAAGCGTCATCTCGAAAACTTAATGGGCCTCTGGAGAAATTTCCCGAAAAAAAAATTAAAAAAAGTCTTATCTCGGAAACTAAAAGGACTTGAGCATTCATATTAAGAGGCAAGATTTGAGACGCCTGGGTGTACGCTGACAATAAGGCTGTATCTTCATCAAGCTAGTAGTTTCAAATTTTTTGAATTTCTTTGTAGATAAATTCGAGAAACTTTCAAAAAAACAAAAAACGTCACATCCCGGAAAATAAAAGCATTTGAGAAGTCGCGTTTAGCAGTCGCATGTGGCAAGATTTGCAACACTTTAGAGTAGCCTGCCAACACCGAACTATAGCGTTGGGAATTTCAAATTTTGAAAAATAATTAATTTAAACTTTCCGAAAATTTTGAAAAAATCACAAAAAACGTCACAACTCGAAAAGAATTGAGCAGTCATACTTGGAGGCAAGATTCGCAATCCTTGATAGTACTCTAACAGGACCTAACTACAGGGTTGGGAACTTCAGATTTTTAAAAAATAATCATAATTTGAGTTTTCTGAAAATTTTTGAAAAATCACAAAAATCGTCATATCTCGAAAACTACAATGATTTGAGCAGCCATAATTGGACGCAAGATTCGCAATCCTTGATAGTACTCTGAGAATACCCAACTACAGGGTTGGGAAATTCAGATTTTTGAAAAAATCATAATTGAAGTTTTCTGAAAATTTTCGAAAAAATCACAAAAACATCGTATCTCGAGAACTACAGAGAATTGAGCGGTCATATTTGGAGGCAAGATTCGCAATCATTGAGAGTACTCTGACAGGACCCAACTACAGGGTTGAGAATTTCAGATTTTGCGAAAAAAAATTATTATAAGTTTTCTGAAAATTTTTTGAAAAACCACAAAAATCGTCATATCTCGAAAACTACAAGGATTTGAGCAGTCATAATTGGACGCAAGATTCGCAACCCCTGATAGTACTCTGAGAATGCCCAACTACAGGTTTGGGAATTTCAAATTTTTAAAAAATTGTAATAATTGAAGTTTTCTGAAAATTTTTGAAAAAATCACAAAAAACGCCATATCTCGAAAACTACAATAAAATGAGCAGTCAGACTTGGAGGCAAGATTCGCAATGTTTGATAGTACTCTGACAGTACCCAGGTACAGGGTTGGGAATTTCAGACTTTTAAAAATCATAATGATTGAAGTTTTCTGAAAATTTTTGAAAAAATCACAAAAACATCATATCTCGAAAACTACAAAGAATTGAGCAGTCATACTTGGAGGCACGATTCGAAACTTTTGATAGTACTCGAACAGTACCCAACTACAGGGTTGGGAATTTCAGATTTTCATAAATCAATGATTGAAGTTTTCTGAAAATTTTTGAAAAAATCACAAAAACATCATATCTCGAAAACTACGAAGAATTGAGCAGTCATACTTGGAGGCAAGATTCGCAATCTTTGAGAGTACTCTGACAGGCCCTAATTACAGAATTTGGAACTTCAGATTTTCAAAAAATAATAATAATTTAAGTTTTCTGAAAATTTTTGAAAAAATCACAAAAAACGTCATATCTCGAAAACTACAAAGAATTGAGCAGTCATATTTGCAGCCAAGATTCGCAATCCTTGATAGTACTCTAACAGTACCCAACTACCGGGTTGGGAACTTCAAGTTTTGTAAATTATTTTGTTATTTGAAATTTCTGAAAATTTATGAAAAGATCTCAAAAATCGTCTTATCTTGTTAACTAAAATGATTCGGGCATTCAAAATTGAAGGCCAAATTCGCAACCCCTAATTCGGTATTGGGCTGCTTAATTTAAACTCGGTAAAATAACCACTAAAATCAAATTGGAAAATCGAAAAAAAATTCTTAACCATTGCAATATACGATATAGATTAAACATGCAAAAATAATACGTTGAAAAAGCTTAAACATGGCGAGATAGTGAAGCCCGCATTTAAATATATAATAGATTAACTATTTGATTTATTCAAACTTAAAATTAAAAATTTTATCCTTCAAATTTAAATAAGAGCGCAGTTCGGTCTATTATCGGTGCAACACATTAGTGATTGATTCAAACGATATTTTTGGATTAGTTAATAAATTGCTGCGGCAAAGCATTTAGAACATTCTTCGGAAAACCCTCAAACTTATTTGTGAGTAGTGTGTCCAACTGTAACTGAATTGAAAACTGTAACTGAAACTGTTACTGCACAACTGAAATGGTTTTGATCAACTGAAACTGTAACTGAAACAGCCGGATGTTTTGAACTGTAACTGAAACTGTAACTGAAACCAACTCCGGTCCTTGTTTCAGTTAGAGTTTCAGTTACAGTTACAGTTTCAGTTGCAGATAGCTTAGTATAAATACTTGACGCAATTCATACGTTTCCAGAACGAGATGGCAGCAACAACAACTGGTCGCAAGCGTAGCAACCCGGTGCATCAATACTTTGTTATAGATGAGAGCAAGACAGCGTACAGATGTACGGACGACGACTGCGAGTTCACAAGTCTGGTGAAGCATGGTCCTACCAACCTCAAACTGCACCTCAAAAAGAAGCACCCTGAATGGCAAAAGCAACTCGAAGTCAAAGAAACAGCAGAAAAGAAGGATGACACAAGACACTCCGAGATGCTATGGTCTGATTTCTACGAAGACAGATCTGACGAAGAAGAAAACTTTCCGAGTTTGTTCACTCCACCTCCATCTGCATCGCAACCCGAAGAAATAGCCGTTAAGCTTTCGGCCCAGTTTGAGAGCTATTGCGCGAATATCTCTACTTACGAACACATGAAACCGGGATTTGACATTGATCTCAAACATCACTCGGAAGACCTTCACAAGTTTTGGCGCGACAGACTATCTACTGTTCCTGAGTTGTCTCAGTTTGCGCTTGCGAACCTGTGTTTCAGCGGCGCTGGAGTCGGAGTTGAAAGACTTTTTTCGGGAGCAGCCATCCAAGCGGAAGGAAGACTTAGAGTGCTGTCGAACACTGGGCTCCGTGAAAGAACAATGATTACGAGTAACCGTGACTTGATTGAATGACTTGACTTTTGATTGAACTCGTTAAGTTTTTGTTTCTTTGTAAGTTTTGTTTTCAAATTCAACATGTTGTTTGATTCAATTTTTCCAACTGAAAGCTTCAACTGAAACTGTAACTGAAACTGAAAGAAAAAAACTGTAAAAACTGTAACTGTAACTGAAATGGAAAGACCCGGAAAATCAGAACTGTAACTTTAACTGAAACTGAAAAACAGACAAAAAGAATTCAGTTGGACACACTATTTGTGAGTAATTCAACAATTATTAATCTTTAGATGTAATGAATTGATTTTAAAATTAATTAAACTAACTAACCTGTCCATGAATAGTCATTCCACATTTTTCACACGTTCCTTTACTGGGTGCATGTACTCCCATTGAAGCCATTTTTTGAGTCACGGCATCGTAGCATTCCTGGAAATCGCCATTAACTGGAAAACCATCTACTAATTTTGATTGATTCATTGCTGGTTCCATATCACCGCGCGATAATCTAGACTTAGCTGACGGTGGCTGATTTTGATTTGAGTTAGAAACCGTTTTCTCTGAGTGGTTTGTTTGCTCCGAGTAAACTCGCTCTTTAGTAAACTCGCTCTGAACAGAAACTACTTCGCTAACAGGCGCCTCTGAATTTCTATTCGCTTCTGAAGATTCGACGTTTTCAGACACATAGTAATTTGTATCATATATTGCGTTGTCATAAATGTCCTCAGGATTTGCATGATGTTTAGAATTTGAGATTGTGGCTATATCGTAAATTTCTTCGGTGTCATCTTGAGCACCCGCTGGCGCTGAAAATCTGCCCTGAAAAAAAAGATTGACAGTTTTAGAAACATGTTGATCAAAAAATTACAAGATTGCCACAAACGATAAGCAATTTGTTAAAAAGTAAAGCTCCTGCCGGGGCTTGAACTAACAACCGTTGTCAGAGCCACATGATTGGAAAAAACGTCGACTCAGCCCAGCTGATATAGCTGGTATTTTTTAAGTTGTGTTTAAATGTTTGTGTCATCTTGCTTGGGTTTACATGTAACCAATGTAAACTCAAAAATTAGATATGAAAAAAAAAAACACTATCTAGCAAGTGCCATTTTTTTAAACAAAAAAAAAGATAAAAACAACACACTTCAGCTCTAAACAACACCCTGTCTAAAACCTAATTGAAATTCAGCACCCACCCAGAAATGATTTTGCAATTTGGGGTTTTCTAACTATCGCGACACCAAGTTTCGGTCTGATATAAAGAAAAAACAGCATGCTCACTTGATTGGGTGCAACATCGTCTATGTTTGTTTCTTGCATGTATCTCCTATCACTTGACTGCGGTTGGGGCTGCTGGTGGACTCTTCCATCGTAAGATGTAGAAGAGCGCACACCACGCGTTTCATTTCTAAAACAACACAATGATCAGAATCAACATTTCCTTGCTTCTAACTTTTCTCAAAGGAAGAAAAGTAAACTTGTTTGATAAAATAGATAAAACCAAAGGAGAAAAATAACATGTCTACGAGGGGTATTTTTATCAGTCAACTCGAGGATCTGATTAAACCTCTCAATCAAAACATTGCCATTTCTATTGCTGTCACAAAAAAAAACAAGAATGAGTTGACGGTGATTTCATTTGCCAAGTTTTCAAAACCACAATGGCAAGAGCTATAGAATTTTGAAGATTTTAATTTTCTTGATTTTTCCATTGCAATTAAATTGATTGTTATAATCAGACGACCAGAAAACGAAGCAGCTTCTTTCATGAACGAAGCAGCTTCTTTCATGGGTTTCACTTGCATGATCAGGGCGTCATTATTACTGAAAACTATTTCAAAACAAGGATAGCCGGTTTCTACGCAAATGGTCAAGAATTTTCCGCCATATTCTTAAAAAATACATTAAAAGTTTGTTTTCGAACTAGTGGCGTTTTTTGTACTTGGCGAGATATAGTGATCTGACAAAAGCCTTAGACTTTGGCATATTCCATAACATTAACCCAAATGAGAAAATTGGATCAATAAGTAAACTTTTCTTTCGCTAGGAAATCTGAAAGTTCAATTCCACTTTCGAAACTAAAAGTCAATTACGTTTTTCGTGACCTTTACAATTTTGCTGTTTGATAGTGGAGTTTACCTTCCTTTTAACAAAAGAAAAAACTAAACTTAAAAATAATTCAAAAGTCAAACCGCGAAAAAGTAAACTTGAGCCAGAACAAATTTTAAGATTTTCTGAAAAAAATCGAAAAAACATTCGCGACTTATAAAACAGTCTAAACTACGTTCATCGACTCTTAATAAATCTCTTAAAAAGAACTGGTTGCAACTTTTAATAATGCGAATTTTTTTAAACTGACTATAAACAGCTAGCATTCTCACATTAGCAAAGCTGCTACTGATATGGTCTCAAAAATACTATAACAGAGCAGTTCCATCAAATTTACACAGAGGCGAAGCTGCGCTTTGCAAACACAAGCCAGGAAAATGCAAAATAGAGCTCTAAAAAGGCGAAACAAAGTAAAATAAGGAAAATATTAAAAAAACACCATGAATTTTTTTTTGTTGAGATTGAGAGTATCACTTTCTCTCATCTGCTCCAAGACCGCTTGCAATTTTAATAATACTAGCCACCAATAAAGTAGCGAAGATTCGAGCAAAAACAAAATAGAACTATTTCAAGGTTCCGGATTTCTCCAACCTGATTATTAGGAGCGTCACTCACGTCCTCCAATAAGCGCCACGGTCACTTGGAAGTAAACTAGTGAACTAGTGGCCCAGCTAATACTGGATACACCTGCTTTAAAAATTTATGATATACTGTACTGATAAAGCCGCTAGCTCGGGAAACAATTGACATAACTTTTTTTAGTACTTCGGTTAAAACCTTAATCTCCGATTTGGAAGGGTTGTTTTTGAAAAACTTTTAAAAATTAGTCAAAATTTAAAACTTTTTTCCACCAATTTTATGGAATACCCGCTTGAGAAGCTGAGATCCCAAGATTGAAACCTTCATATCAGATTTGTGCAATTGATATTTGAGAAATTGAAAAATCCCCCTACTGACACTTTCGAACAGAGTAGAACGTGGGGTAAAATGAAAAGAGAAGCGAAATATGCAGGCATAATGAAGAGCAGCCGGTTTGTCCATTGCAAAGGTTTTTTTTGAAAAACAGTGCAGTAGTTTTGAGAAAAATTGAAATTTCTGCAAAAAGTTTCCAAAGCGCCGCAAAAGAACAAAAAAACAAATCTCATACATTTTCAAAATACCTGATTTCTCAAACAGGACCTGACACTAGCCAAAAAAAGCAACAAAATATGTTATTAAATTGCCTATGCTGAAATAGGCTTAAATATGATTAAGTTGAAATATACCAACAGTTGCACCAAAAGAGCACTTTTATTTGCGACTTGGTTCCAAAAAAATTGTAATAAAACGCAACGCTTCGCATATGTAATAATAAAAAAACTTGGGGTAGCCCCCAAGGGATGTGTCGTTCTCTAATTCCAGTTTTTACCAAAATACAATTGAGTTTTGACAAACATTCCATTCTCTATGAGCCAATGTCTTTCAGATTAAACTTATTCGCAAAAAACTTTTTGTACACAAAACTAAACTCAATATTTTACCTACTGCATTTGCTAAGAATGTACCTCTTGTCGAGAAGTCGTGTTCTTGTTTTTGCTTCAACGAATTTCGCGTTTTAAAATTTCATTTCCTGCGCTTTCGTGTTTTTTTCCTATTTGCATAAGCTTTGAACAAAAGATTCCCACTCGATGTTGTATCTGCCTTTGTTTATGTCGACAAATATAAAAACAACGTGCATTTCACGGTATAAGGATAGTGGCAAGGGTGAGTCTTTTTTAACATCTCTCTGTAATTCAAACTAATAGTGCCTTTGATAAATGAGCACTTTTAATATGACTTGGGTTGGACAAAAGTGGACTTCGTTAAATGACACGACACTACGCGCCGCTTGCTAGCGTAAATCATGGTCTATGATGGTTGTCAGCGCATATCCGGTTACAATACCCTTGCTTATCAAACTATTATCATTAGCGCAAAATCTGCACTGTGGTGTTCCAAAAATAGCCAAAATACAATTGGGAAGATTGTGCAGCTGAGCTTGTGTGTGGGGGGGGGGGGGGGGGGGGAAGTTGCTTTAAGAAAATGACACAGAGGCGACGCGGAGCTTCGCAACAATTGCGACGCAAAAAAAAAACAAATTGCGCTACAAAACAGAGAATGGAAAAAAACAGAAGTTAGAAAAATTTTCTGAAAAATTATGTTGGATAAAATTACTTGAAAAAACATTTGATAACTTCATACTTCTATCAGATGAAAATAATATACCGTCCTTAAAAGATGTTAATCATTTACCGAAGTACAACAAAGAGGACAAACTTTGGGTCCAAACCTGTTGAGCCGAACCAAACTGTTGTCATAAAAAATTTCATAAATTTAAATTTTTATGACCCATCAAAAGTGAAACAAATTACGCAAAATAAGTTGACTAAGTCGGTATATTAGAAACTGAAGCTGTTTGAGTATTTTGAAAAAATGAAAAAAAAACTCTCAAAATCAGACATGGTAAATTTACAAATTTGTGAAGTTTCAGTTACAGTAAAGACAGTTTAAATTGGAACAAAACCCATGCTTTAAAAAAAAGTAAGCCAATAAAAACTCTACCAGATAAAAAAAAACGTTTAAAAAATGAAAAATGAACCAACAGAAACTAGGACGAAAAGCAGGAACCAAAAAAATGAAATTTATTTGAAAAGATAATTACAACCTGAACGGGCTTGAATTAATTACTAGCTAAGTGATAGTATTTTTATTAGAATTTTCAAGAGATTGAGCATTTCAGATGAAAGATCCTCTAGAAGTGAAGATCCTGTGGACAAAGTTGTTTACGGAAAAAAAAGTCTATAACCGATTGCAATATCCTTGCTTGTCGCAAGGGTAATGAGCTTTTTTGAAATTTTATCAACTTCCATTTTTCGTAGAAAAAACATGACATTCAGGCTCCTTGAAATTCGGATCTTTTAGGGCTGACACTTTAGAAGTTGAAAGCAGTCGGAACATTCAGGTCATCGTCCTGATACATGCACTTTTTTGCAGTGCTCCTTTCTAGTTGTGCTAACTTTTATGGCTCCACTGCGCGATTTGCCATTCGATATCGGGCTCATCTCTTCAAATTCGGGTTCATCTCTTCAAAATCGGGCATATCTCTCACTCAATCAATAAAAAAACGATCTTTTATTTATCCCTCCATTCATTTCATGGCTATGTAGATGTGCTATTTTGTATTTAATGTCAAAAAAAACTTGTATATTCATTCGGTATTGTATTACTAGATGTCGAAAAAATTAAACATTCAAACATTACCAGTTTTCTGCATACAAGAGAAACGACAAATTACGTTAAAACATAAGAGCAGATGGCTCATCCTAACTACCTGTTCAGAAACTTTATTGTCGTAACAAAGTTTGAAAAGAAAACATAGCCAAAAGCAATTGGAAAAGCTTTCAAATTAGCTTCAAACTGGGACATACCCCAAACAATCGAGGGTCGTCCTCCATGCGACGCAACATAGGCCGAAATCATCTCAGTCGATTACCCATTTTAAGCGAAAAAAAATATTTACAAAAATCGGTACTGGTTTAGTTATAAACTACAGGAATACGTCAAATTAGTTTCAATTATATTACAATTGATTCAAGCATAAAAACCATAAATTAGCTACTGAGATAGATTAAGAGAGTGACATAGTTTGTTCATAGTATATTTTTCATTTATGATATATGAGTTTTCACAAATTTATACTCACAATTTAATTGAAGATTCAAGGTCATTTATGAGGTTATCCAGGGGTGGCTTGAACATTTGATTCCGATCAGCAGCATTATCATTGCGAAGAATTTTTGCTGAAAATGATCAATGAATATTTGCCAAAGAATGTCAATCATATGTAATGATCGAACAACCGAATATACATACCGTTGTTTGCAGTAGCACTGTGCAGCTCGTTTAGCAAGGAATCAAGTTCTGAGAGATGATTTCCACCTGTTTCATTCATTCTGAAAAGAAACAAATCATAAAAAAAATTTCCAAATGAATTAATTGCCAAATGAAAATAAGTTCAGATATGCAAGTTTATACCAGAATTCAGTGAATTTAGGTTACACTACTATCCATGATATTATTCACGATAATTCAACGCAAAATTTAACTGATAGATCCTCTTTAACTAAAAATACAAGTTTCGCGCCACTTGCGATTAAAAAAAAGAATTACTATGATTGAAATCTAACAAAAAAAATGTAGAAAAAAAACTTCAAAATATCGTTTTTGTCATTTAAATTGCAAGAAACGCCCAAAATATCCGGAACAAAACTGCCTGTACCATTACACTCTACAAAGACCTGTGGGGATGTTATAAAGAAGGCAAGTTTTCAAAAAAAAAGACCTTTCTGTGGAAATAAGCGGACAAAAAACATAGACAATTATCTAAATTAGGCAACATCTTCTAATTGCAGAAAAATAGGTCTCAAGTGGAATCGAACTCCCGGGCTTTGTCGTCTCAAGCATGGGGATTACAGCAACTTGGAATAAAGCTGATCCTTCGAGCTACGGGAACCAAGCCGACAAAAAAAAACAGACGGACGATAGTCCGAAAAAGCACAAACACTAGTTTGCAAAAAAGAGCCCGGTCAGATTCGAACCCCTAGCATTTCCCATCTCTACAGCTGTTGTTTTACCTCTATGCTAGATGCGTCGGATAGTTGATTGGATTTGAATTTATAACAACCAAGCGGTAATCTTATTAAATAGTGTCTTTTAAGATTAAATGAGATGAGGGCATCCGTGGTGGCCCTGTAATTATCATCCTTGGCGCAAGTTCTTTATTTGGAGCACTCGATACTCCAGCAGACTACATAAAGAGAAGCTTGATAAGGCAGGGCTTCATTCATTTCTCAATCCTTCCCCGCCTCAATTGTCATAAGAGGACACCAAAAATGAAGAAGTCAATCTTGACCCATATAAGCGAAGCGGAACCAAAGGACGAATTTGTTACTTGACACGACACTATCAACAACTCACTGTCGCCTCATTTCAATAACTTCAACTCAACTCTAAGTGGACCCGAGTAAGCTAATTCACTGATGAGTGTCTCCTCTCGAATTCGGTCAATCGTAAATTGCCGAAATTTAACCGAAGATGGACTCCCTGTGGTTGAAGTGGTTAGTATAATGCTTCACGTAAAGGTGAGATTAGTCAAGAAAAAATAAAAGAACTGAACAAACAATTGAATCAACCCCCAGCTGTAGAATTTAGGACTATCTACGTTGTCTTGCGTTAAGTTGGATACGAACAAATCATTGTGACATTCGACCAGTATGACCTGAAAATGCAATTGAATGAATTCGGAGAGGTCAATTTGGATTGACGGAATTAATTTCAAATCCTCGATTGGGGCGTGCATGAAACCGCGAAAATAAGTCAGACGATTTTCACGGACGAAGATTACGTGCAATCAAGATAGAAGAGGATTAAAAGTATTATAAACAATATTCGGAACAGAGAGCTCCGAGTTGAAACGATTGTACAGCTACAATCTTACAGCGCAATTCCCAAGAATCAGAAGGGCTCACGGGAGCATTTAACTCTTCTTCCTGGGAGGTTTTTACTACCCTTTCTGGATTTTACTACCCTTCCTGCAAGATATGGAACCCACTATATTTATCCCGTGATACTTCTCAAAATTACAAAACCGAATCTTCTAACAAGGCAAACATCCAGGGAGTTGCCATTTCAAAAAACCAGGACGTACTACACACTCGAGCCAGAAATTTGAAAAGCCCGGACTTCGACAGTGTTTGGTTAGTATGTCTGCTTGGTAGTCGAAGAGTTGCCTATATCACTCCTGAAAACATAGAAGGTAGGAAATCCTTTCTGGTCCAGATAAAATCAGCAGTCAAGTACGTGGAGAGGAATCAACTTGGTGGACTCATCGTACTTGAAGACCTAAATGCCAGACACGAATACCGAAGCGACACAAAGGAGAATATGCCCATCCTGCTTGATGAATTCATGATACTGAACAATGGTGAAACCTTTTATCTACGAATGGAAGCACTGTCATTGATCTTATCATTGTAACAGGAAATCTACTTGATGAAACTTCCCATCAGATACTGGAATACCCTCACCAGTACTGACGAGGAAGAAAACCAAATACTGCAAATTTTTAAAAATGGACTCTTTAGGCAGGCGATAGATTTCCCAACATGTGTGAAGAACATACTAGACGTAGCCTTCTATCGGAATTGCTATACAAGTGCCGAACAAGATTTTAACGTTTCCAAGATTTATGACTGCTCAGATCACAATGCCATAATGTTGTCTATTGAATGCACGGTATCAGAGCCGAAACCATACTTGGAAAATTTTAGAAGTTTTGGAAATGCCGATTTTGAAGGAATAAACAATTTTATAAACGAGAACCCATTTGAACCAGTATGCCACACAAACATTAACAAAATGCATGAGGAGTACACCCAATATTTGGATGAAACCATAAAGAGTTTTGGGCCTCTCACAACAAGACATAGGAAATCACTTCCACCTTGGATAACAAGTAGCACTTCAAATTTGATCAACAAGTTACAAACAAAACGGCAATCATGCATACTCAAACCGACCAACTACAGAAGACAACAAGTTAAACTGTTTGAAAATTTAGTAACTGAATCATCGGAATTGGACAGGAAAAACTACCAAGAGGAATTGTTTAGAACACGGAACACTAATGTAATTTTTAAACACCTAAAGAACTTGAATAAACATACAAGTCTTCCTAAGTTACTCATAAAAGATGAAGTTGAAAGCACAAATCCAAACGAACAAGTCAACATGCTAAACGACTTCTTTCATTCAGTTTTTAATCCTAAAGAAAGTTTTAGTATTAGAGATATTCAATTTGAAAATCCCTTGTTAACGAATTTTGATATATCGAAAAAGACAGTAAGTGAGATTTTATCAACTCTGGACGTAACAAAGTCACGCGGCCCAAATGGGTTGCCACCTAGCTTTTTTCAGAAAACGAACCGCAATATATTCAAACCGATGAACAAACTTTTGAGAAACGTAAAACGCCTACGAAAAATACCTGATTCATGGAAAACAGCTGCAGTTACTCCTGTTCACAAAAAAGGTGACCGAAAAATGGTGAACAACTATCGACCAGTATCGCTATTAAATATTGACAGCAAAGTCCTTGAAAAATGTATATACAAAGACCTGTACCCTTACTTTGCCTGGTATTTGACGAAACATCAACACGGTTTTACTAAAGGTAGATCAGTTTTGACAAACATGCTCTCTTTCCTGAAAGAAATATATGAAGCGCTTGACAATGACTCAAACGCAGAAATTGTAGCAGTCTACACTGATTTTGCAAAAGCCTTTGATAAAGTTCCGCATTTTGATCTACTTAAGAAAGTTGCACTTATAGGAATAGGAGGCTGCATGTTAGAGGTACTCTATGACTATTTGAAAAACAGGAAACAGTTTGTACGAGTAGACAATATCAGCTCAAAAGTTTTAGAAGTCACTAGTGGTGTTCCCCAAGGATCACTTTTAGGACCACTGCTCTTTTGCATTTTTATTAACGACCTACCTCTGAAGTACTCAAATTCTCTGAACCATATATTTTTGCGGATGATCTTAAACAACTTTCCATCAAAAAAACATCAATTGAAATTCAAGAAGATCTGGACAAAATTCAGCAGTGGGTAACTGAAAACAAAATGGAATTAGCACTAGATAAATGTGCAAAAGTAAGTTTTAGGGGCGGAGACGCTAACTCTATGCTTTTTGGTGTAGTGCTTGGAACATCGATGGTTGTGAAAGATCTGGGAATTTTTGTGTCGGGCGATTTAAGTTGGAAGGTACACATTGAAACAAGATTAAAGAAGGCAAACCAAGTACTGTACCTCCTGAGAAGAAACCTATCAGCAAAGATAAATACGTTTGTAAAGTTAGGCCTGTATAAGTCACTAATACTCCCAGTGTTATTATACGGACTCTCATGTACACATATATCGAGGGGGGATCAATTGCAGTTGGAGCGATTTCAAAAGAAAGTAATCCGTTGGATCACTGGAAATAAAACGGGAGTGTACATCAACGAACTACGCTTGCTAAACATTTTACCCCTGCCCATGTTCATCCAGCTAAATAACATCTTACTTCTTGCCAGTCTTGATTCTAATGAACGAAATGAAATAGTGTTAAACAGGCGAACAACACGGGCTAGAAATACAGAAATTTTTGAGATGCGAAAAGTGAGAACGGAAAAAAGCGAGAAACGAATTTGTTTTCAGAACCAGTAGGATTGTAAATCGATTAGAACCATATATTCATTTTGATAAACGAATTGGCCTCAAGACGAGAATTTTAAACACGATGTGGAAATTTGTAAACGAGAGATTTTCAGAAATGACAACGTGCACGTGGCAATTATTCTGTGATTGTATCACGTGCAGAAACAAGTGGACATTGTTTTAGAGAAGACGCCGGGACCAAGAATCCCAAAAGCAGTGCTGTAAATCCCCAACAACAACAACAACAACAACATGCGACTACGACGTGGAACTCTTCGCCGGAGCACTACAACGTGGTCATATTCCAGTTGCAATTTTCCCAATAATCGGACAAAACCGCCGTCAAATTGCGGCTGTGGCTCGAGAAACCCGACTGGGAAAGTTGGACAGAGTCTCTGGATAAATTGAGCGAAATTGCATCTGAACTTGAGGATGCTGATGGCAATTACGCTCAATATTAAATAGTTTCATATAAACATGTCAAATCAACGTCATAGCTGCAAATCATGCCGTAAACCAATGATGTCTTCTGCTGAAATGTACCACTGTGTGGGATGTGACGCAAGGATGCATCTTGATACTACATGCACTGGTTTGACACCTGTGGCAGTCAATGGAATCAGGGAACTAGAGGGACGACTTTTTTCAAGATGCTACAATTCAGCAACTTAAAGATAAGTTCACTACTGAT